CTGTAAATGGATTTTCTTTTACATATTTTGTTCTGTGGTGTGTGCTCTGTGGGCTATGTGTTCACGCTTTGACCTCACTTACAGTCTGTGTAAGATTGTCTTATTTGCACTAGGCAGACACATCAAATCAGTGCATACACAACACGCTGCTGTTTTGTGGCTCCTATTGCGTCATTTCTCATGCAAGAAGCGAGGTCATCAACATTTGTGCATCTTTTCTTGTCCAAACCTGTTAGAAGCTGAGACAGAGAGAAATTTAAAGACCGTTTGCAGGTAACTGATTTTTGCAATTTGAAAAATCATTGTTGTTTGTTTGTTTTTATAAATGACAAAGGTCTGATACTACACAATACTAGAGACTAGAATCAGCAGACACTGTTTCTGCAATAGCTGCTGTCTGAAATAAATATTTTCAGCCTCTTGTGGTTAGTTTGGGAAAGTGGAAAATGCGTTTTGATTGCATTCTCAGTTGTGCACCTTGCCTGTGCTCTGGTGACTCACTGTAAATGACTGTAGGCACAGTCAGACGTATTGCATCTGTGCTCTGACTAAACAGTGACATCACTTATTCTTCACAGCATTGATGCTTCCTTTCATAATATTACATCATATTGATGAGCTAACAGCTTGTTAGTGAGTTTCTAATGAAGTAGAATTAATGGAAAATAAACTGAAGGAAGTTCTTCAAAAGCAGGCTCGGTGTAACCCGGCATTGAGCAACATTTTCGATTCTTTTAGATCCTTTTTGGGACAAAACTAATTTAGGTTTCAACTTCATTGCTACTGTTCACTATTAAGTACTTATTAAATACTCAGTTGTTACAGTGGAGCTCTCCACAAGCACAGACTGCAAAGGAAAATAAAGTTCACATTTAAGAACACGCCGGCTGCTCTCTGTGGACCTGTACATTATTGATGACATACATTTATTAATAACAGGGTGAAAACAACAGTCGGTGGTTCTGCTTCTTTTTCTTTGTGGTTATGTGTTTGTATTGTTTCTTTGTTTTTTTTACCTTTATAAAATATGGTTCTTGGATTTAAACGAAAAGCCATGTTTGCATGCGCTTGTGGAAACAGTGCATTGGTTGCTTAGTGTTACCTGCCAGCATGTACTTACTTCTCTGCTAATACTTTACAGGTAAACTCAAATTAAAAACAATTTCAAGCATATCAGAATTATGAACAGTCAACAGAATATGCAGAAAGAACCACTGCAAATCTAAAATATGTATTCAATTTCATTTTAATTCAGTTCAACTTTATTTGTATAGTAAAAGCCTACAATAATAACTATGCAGTAGGGCCAGGCAGCACTTTTGTGTAATACCAATTTCTACCAGGAATCAACACATTTTTATTTACAATATCAGGGGAAAAAGCAGCTGTTGAGGAAATGTTGGGAGGATTAAAAAGAAAACTATAGCAGCACATTTCTAAACATATTTAACTACCAAATGGTAAAATGCCACCGAGCGATGAAAGCTCTGGTTCAGAGCTTCACAGAGTAATTACAAAATGTACTTTTAAGACTATCGTGCCTTTAAGCCAGCTTTCTTCTTGATTGGCCCTCATAAATAGAAGCTTTGACCAGAATGAGGGACCGTCGGGCCAGAGCTGTGCGTCTGAGATGAGAGATATGATGTCCTCTCTGCTGACATCACACAGAGCCAAACCGTGTTAAACTGTGAAGACGAGTCGTTCAGATGACCCTGCCATCCATAGTTCTGCACAGTGGAAAGAGCCACTCGCCACATCTGCCCCTGAGAGGCCCTGTTCACAGGGGAACACTCATTTCAGACCCATCCTTCCAATTTCTGTTGTAATGAAGAGCAAAGCTGAAACACTCATTAAATTTTTCATAGCGCATGAGTTTTCCCTTTAACTGGATTGAAACCAAAAAAGAAGTCTCTAAAACGTTTTAATTATTTCGACTTCATATTTTATTTATTCAGTAAGCTGTGCCTGTTTTATTTAAATGGGTCAGTTATTTCGAGGAACAACTCCTTTCAAACTCTACACAATTAACCCAGAGTCGTTTCTCTAAGAGATTAAACCCCAACACGAACACCTTATAATGCTCCAGCAATAGAAATACTTTGTGCATTTACTGTTGAGCACAAGTTTCCCTCTGCAACGGTTCAATACGTCAGTCCAGCACAGGTGGCTAATGATGGTGGACGGATAAATGTGCTGGAGACAGAAAACTGTGGGTAATAAATAATGCAACCTACATAATACTTAAACGGAGAGTGGCCAGAAAGGCTATTGCTTAAAACGGACTTTCATTCCCAGCTTCAAATTTTAGTTCTTGTGTCCGTCCCCCAACCCTAAGCCCACATTCTTCTGTTTGGCTGCATAAGGTTTGAGCAGTAGAGCGTCTTGATGACCACATAAGAGATCTCTCTCTTTGACAACACACAGAAAAAAGACTAACAAAAAAAAAATAGTGTGAAACTGAGCAGGAAAAAGCAGTGTGAAGCCTGACCTTTTATCTCACAGCGATTACTTGTAAAAATGTCCTTATTCGAAACTTTGGCCATGTCTAATGAGCATCCACTGCTAGAACAAAGAGGAATATGTCCAGTTTAAATTGGGTAAGGAAGCCCAGCCCTTGAACAAAGGTCTAGCTGTATGCTTCCAGAGCCATGGCTAACAAGCTTGCAGACTGTTAGCCCAGCTTCCCTAGCTGCCATCTAAAGCATCAAATTGATCAAATTCCTAAATGTAACATGCTGACTGGGGGTGTTGTTGAAGGGTCTCCAGCATCCACTGAAATATCAGGCACAAGTGTCCTTCCCTCTTCATGTGAGGAAGAATCCGCGCAGTGTGCGAACTGCTAATGCGCTTTTGTAGTGGATTTGTTCCCAACATTAGTGGAATCTCCCCCACTGGTGATGGAGGTTGAAAAGACAAGGAGGTGGAGGACAGCAGCGTTTGATGTCTGACACACAGGAAGTCACTGCCGATTGATTGGCTCCCGTTAAAGCAGACGTTCCCCTCGTAGGAGAGATGTCTCATGTCTTAATGTAAAGCGTATCATCTGTTCAGTCCCTGGGAATTCATCCCTGCAGACTCCTGCTCGCACTGCGTTTGAAAGACAGATGAAAGACCAATTTGATTTTTTTTCTTCCCATTTCAAAAGCAAGAAAATCTCTGGCAACAAAAGTGGAAAGGAATAGCAGCAGATTAAAATAATGAGGCTTTTAGAGGACTTCAGTAGCTTCACATGAGTCGCATTTCTCTCTCATCTTTCACCTTCTTTGCCCTGCAGAGAACACAGGAAGGAGGGAAACATCTTAACTCTTTACGCCCCGGCTGAATTCAGTTTTGTACGTCTCTGCTCTTAAATTAGCAGAAGACAACCCTTTTAAATATCCAGTGGTAGATATTAAACTGCCTGCCACAGAATAATAATTAGAGTGGTGGTTGTTTCTGGAACACCCCCCCTTTTCCTTTGGCAGCGCTTTGCTAATTTGCAGTGACATCTCCGTGGCTCAGCAGCCCCTGGGCTGTAGGCAGAGGCACGGTCATGATGGGCAAAATGGAACCCACTGGGCATTCTTTACTGGAACTATCAACCCCCGCACACACTCGCAGCTACACCACTTTCCTGCTGCCATTTTTCTCTCATCACACGCTCCTTCATCTCTGCAGCTCTGCTCCACTCAGCACTCAGGAGTAGAAAGCAGTCCTCTGCTATCTGAGAAAAGTGGACCTTTTTCGTGCCTCTTAATGGACTCGCGGCAGTTGACAGGCCGTACATGTGGCTATATTAACGCGGCTGGACGAGCACGTTCGAACATGTAGCCTAATGTGCATGGCAGAGATTCTCCTGAGACACGTTTCTTTGAGAGGTCTTTATCATAAAACACATTTGAGTTTAATGTTGCTGACAGCGACTGTTTTGTATACTTGGAGAAGGCTGATGTTCTGTGGGTAGATTACTGGAAGGCATCAGATCCTCGTAAAACAAAGTGAGAGCTGTGTTCAGGTCCTTGGCACTAAGTCCTCCACATTTTCAGGGGATGTTTTCGTTGTCTGTGATTTGAACCACACAGTCGCACCCTTGCTTTTTGTAAATGATATGGTTTTGTTGGCTTTGACAGAAGGTGACCTTCTGTATGTGATGTGGGGCTTTGCAGCTGGGATGAGCGTCAGCATCTTCAAGTCTGAGTATGGTGTGAGATGAACAGGCTGAGCAGTGCAGCATCAGCATCGTGTTACGTAGCGCACTTTTGTCAGACGCCATCTGTGTTTTGCTTTTATACGCAGGGTGTCTTTTGGCTTTGGCTCCTTGATGCAGTATCGGACACCAAGAAATAACGTTGTCGTATCAGATCGCTAGAAAGCCAGAGGTTGATGGTGGTTGGTGGTCACTGAGTAATCAGCCAGGAGACCATCGCTTGTCCCTGTTGTTGTGCTCATTGACTGCCTCGTTCTTTTATTGCTGTCACTCACTGGTTAGGTGGACCTACTAACAAAATGGTTTTATGTTCTAGTTTGAATTATCTAACTGGACAAACAGCAGGTATATTTTCATTATCTTCTCATGACTCGTTTCTTCAAAGAGAAGATCAGGATTCTGGATTCAACGTCCATAAACTGCATCTGTGCAGTTACCAGTTAAAGAATAATAGAAATAAAAGAAAAACAGATAATCAAACGGGGAACAATCTCTGAAGAACCTTCGTTTCCAAAAGCCTTTTGTAGCACTCGGTGCTGATGTGGAGTGATGGTATACTGGAGTGTTGTGAACAGGTTGGTGTTTGGGTGGTGTGGAAATGTCAGAATACCTTGAGTGGTGGAAATGTGAAGCTGATGCATGTGTTGTGTGCTTCAGTTGCTCAGTGCACTAAATTTTCTGCCAATTGAACTGAAGCTGTTGTCTCAACTTGAATTTTGTTGCCCTTTCGTCTGTTTTTTCGATCCTCTCTTCATCTTTGTCTCCGTTTCTCTTCCTCCTCCTCTTTTCTTCCCCGTGTCTCTGTGCTGAGCAGGAGGCCTTAATAGCAGGTCTGCTCCCAGAAACAACCTATTCTGTGACTGTGGCTGCATATACTACCAAGGGTGACGGAGCTCGCAGCAAGGCCAAGGTGGCCACCACCACAGGAGCAGGTGTGTGTGTTGCATACAACTAATACAACAAATCTGAGGCCATATCTTGATCACATTCCTGCTTGTTTTCTAATATGTCTCCATTTAATACCTTTCAGGAGTTTTTTTTAGTCCTGCGTAGTCTGATTTTTTCTGTTTGTCTGATAATATGAGCTAATGTTGGCTCCATTTTACGTTTAGCTCGGTATCATCCTGAAAGAGCTTCTTAAACGGTTTTGCAAATAGGCAAACAGCTGCATTCTTATATAAAAGATCTTGAAATCTTGCTTTTTGTCACAGAAACAGTAACATTTCTAAACTTAAGTCACAACTTTGGGTGCTCACACTGTTGCTTTTGAGTTTTCCTCAAAATGTACTCTAGAATACTTGGCTGCCCCAAGTCAACACAAGTCAACACTCATTACATCCTCGATAGAACGGGCGGGGCAAGTACACACAGAGGCATTTGTAGCATACTCGACTTCTTTGAGTTGGAATTGACAGATGATATTTCACAAGAACAAAAGTAAACCCAAGTATACTGAGAAGCAGGTCTTGTTTTTTTAAACCAGATGTCATTAGCAATGAGTCCAGTAGCACTGCACACAAAGCCCCTCTGAAAAGCATTCCTTACTTTGTCTGTTTCACTCCACCATAATTTACACATCAGAAAAATTAATTTTGCAAACAGACGTCTTTGCAACTTTGACTTCTTGTGGAGCCAGAAGAGTTGCCCCCTGCTGGTCATTAGACGACAACACAAGCACACACACACACACACACACACAAAAGCACACACACACACACACACACACACACACACACACACACACAAAAACACAGGTTTAAAGAGCTTTTTAGACTCAAAAGCTAGTCTGAATAACAGTCTTTGTTCTTCTGATAATAAAAAGTAGTGTGGCCTTTATGATGATCTCAAAAACAGGTCCTATACCTTCCAACCAGCTAAGAAAATAAGCTAGATCATATCTAAATGTGTCTTTTAGTGCTGAATATTTACAAATGTTTCCTGCATCGCAGTTCCTGGAAAGCCCACTATGATGATCAGCACCACCATCGGGAACACCGCTCTAATCCAGTGGCAGCCCCCTAAAGAAATGGTTGGGGAGCACATGGGATACCAGCTGCAGTACAAGAGAGCAGAGGAGGAAGCTTTCACCATTAAACACTTCAAGAAGACAGATGATCATTTCACAGTCACCGGCCTCCACAAGGGTGCCGTGTACATCTTCAAACTGTGTGCCAAAAACAGAGCAGGGAACGGGGAGGAGTATGTAAAAGAGATCAGCACCCCTGAGGACATTCCCAGCAGCTACCCACAAAACCTGAGCGTGGTCGGCCTTACTGCAACTTCCACCAAACTGGCCTGGGACCCGCCTCCTCTGGCTGAAAGAAATGGGAAGATTGTGAAGTATGTGGTGATGTACCGAGACATTAACAGCCCGAACAACAGCACCAACGTTACCACAGATACACAGATGACCGTCTACGGTTTGCAGCCTGACACAACCTATGACATAAGAGTCCAAGCTTTCACCAGCAAGGGTGGAGGACCTATCAGCCCCAGCATCCAGAGCAGGACCATGTCCACCTCCATGCCAGGTGAGAACCACAGGCTTAGGTGCAGCTACTAAAAATCTCAGTGATCTCGACCTCAAGGTCAGAGCAAGTTTCTGAAAATCGTGTGAATGCAATAACTTGAGAACAAGATGAAACTGAAAGGAGGGTGAGGCTAGTCCCAGTATTATTTAGTTCTGTCCTCTACATAAGTCAAAGAAATGTAGCAGAACTTTATCAGGGAAACAAATTATGTTCAGTTTCTACCCTTTTTTATTCCTGGGTTTTACTAGAGTAACTTTGTAAGATTCAAAGTGAAAATTAAAACAAGTTTAGACAGTAAGTAGAGTCACAAGTGACTTTACTCCACTGACAACTTGGAGAGTTTTTATTTATTTAATAACCATTGCCTCTAGCTGGCATTTGCAAACTGCAGCCCTGTAGGATTCTACTCTAGAGATGTTAAACAAGGACTTTCTGGCCATATTTGGTGCAGGAAGCAAGCAGCTAGTTCCTGTGAGTGTGTGTGAGTCTCACACTATTAAATCCACTTAGTTCACTGAGTTAGACCTCATTATAGCATACCATCTGAAAACAGCTAAAGATACACTTAAGTCCTGTGTGTTATTTATTACAATGATCTTTTCATTGGAAACCTTTTGAGATGAAAACCTCATGAAGCTGGTTATGATATTGACAAGTGTCACTAACGCACGCGAGGAATTTTAAATATGAAAAACCTCATTTATATTTATATCATTTATGTTTGTTTACAGTTTCCTACATAGTCCATGTGTGTCATGTCATCTTTGCTCACTGCTATGATAGTTATTCGATAATATTTGGATATGAGGCATAAGCCTGGAGTCTGTTGGTGCATCATGTAGTTACCTGCTGATTAGCATAAGTCACTAATTGGAGCACAAGCTTTCTTGACTGTTAGTACAATTACATGCACAGCAAGCAATATTGTTTTTCAGATAATTGCATTAAAATTCCAATTAAAGTTATCAAAACTGCAAGCTGGCATTAGTCGAGCAGACATCTGTCAGCTGCACATATGTAAACGTTTTCATGCCACTGATAATGTACAGTTTAAGCCTTAATACAAATGAAACAAGTGAGTTGTATAAAAAATGTAGTGGCAGGCTTAAGTGGACATTAGGGAAACAGCAGTTTTTGGTCGTTTGTTATTGCCAAACACCTGTTTGTGCTTTTATAGATCATAAAATCATAAAAACTGTGCCGAGATCTATCTGGTAGTGTTCCCCTTAACTGTCTTGCTTTTCTTGCACCTCCTCATCAGCACTGAATCATCTCAGTCATATTCACAATCAAATTAACCACCTAATAATCATCCAGATCTTCCCTCAGTGTTTACCAAGAACTTTGGTGTGAAGGCTGTGACAAAGACCTCGGTCCTGCTGACCTGGGAAGTGCCAGAAACATACAAATCTCAAGTGCCTGTCAAGGTAAGCTCAGCGCTCTCTTTCGTGCAGGCAGAAAACTGGTTGTTTTGGGTAAAACAGAGAGCTGGATATTGGTGACAGACATCACAGTGATAATTATTACAGTAGTGCAAGGTGTAAATTAACCTCTATAACTCCATCCTGCTGTAGATTCTGTACAACCAGCAGAGTGTGGAGGTTCAAGGCAACTTGAAAAGGAAGCTGATCACACAGCTGCAGCCAGACACTGATTATTCGTTTGTGCTAATGAGCCGAGGGAATAGTGCTGGCGGCCTCCAGCAGCAGGTCTCCATCCGAACGGCTCCGGACCTTCTGACGGTGAAACCAGCTCAACACCATATAGATGTGGAGGAAGGTGGTAAAGTGACTATCAGCCTGCCGAAGGTCCCGGACGCAGCGGCTGTCAGGTCAGTGCTGACAGTTTGTCTGTTTTAACACTGACAGTTTCCGTGACTGCTCCTCCATTTCCTCATCTCAGTATTACAGGGAGTGCAGAATTATTAGGCAAATGAGTATTTTGTCCTCATCATCCTCTTCATGCATGTTGTCTTACTCCAAGCTGTATAGGCTGGAAAGCCTACTACCAATTAAGCATATTAGGTGATGTTCATCTCTGTAATGAGAAGGGGTGTGGTCTAATGACATCAACACCCTATATCAGGTGTGCATAATTATTAGGCAACGTCCTTTCCTTTGGCAAAATGGGTCAAAAGAAGGACTTGACAGGCTCAGAAAAGTTAAAAATAGTGAGATATCTTGCAGAGGGATGCAGCAGTCTCAAAATTGCAAAGCTTCTGAAGCGTGATCATCGAACAATCAAGCGTTTCATTCAAAATAGTCAACAGGGTCGCAAGAAGCGTGTGGAAAAACCAAGGCGCAAAATAACTGCCCATGAACTGAGAAAAGTCAAGCGTGCAGCTGCCAAGATGCCACTTGCCACCAGTTTGGCCATATTTCAGAGCTGCAACATCACTGGATTTTCTCATTTCCTCATCTCAGTATTTGTGTGTTAGATACCGTCGTGTTGGTTTTTAGACGCCAAGAGCGTTGAGTGTCAGGGTATTAGCCAGTCCTGTCAGCTGATCTGAGCCAGGTTCTATAGACCGTATGGGTACGTGTGAATCTCAGCAATGCCTTGTCCACTGCATCTATAGAGTTTGTGCCAGGCTATTTTCCCCAACATACACTCAGCGTATTAGCAGTTCAAACATCTTAAAAAGCCAGAAAATTCTGGCGTGTTTCACCAGCCATTACAGCCTCTCTTTATTAACTTCTTGTCATGTTTTACCCACTTCACAGCGAGCCAATTATCAGAAGCAGAAGCGTTTTCTTTAAGGTCAGAGTAGTTTTAAGTGCAAACAAGACAATCAAACCTCTGGCCCAACAGCTCCGTGATTACAGCAGAAAACCACACGACTATATTAACAGTCGCCCCACTGCAACTCGTAGCCCTCTCATGATACCAGAAAGCAATTTGAGGTAATCAGCAATAAGAATCCCAATGCAAATGGTGCATTTCACAAGAAGTTTATTTCATATTATTACACAGCTTGGTCAAGAAGACAAGCACATAGAAATAATTAATTGTGTTTCAAGTGTTTGTTTCTCCGAAGAAATAGCCCACAAGTAAGCAGTAATTAAGAGGAGTGGAGTCAGTGGAGAAAAAAGATGCTAATGTCCAAACCAGACCTTCTCATTAGGCTCAGTGAATGCATCTGTTTAAGAGAAGGTTCAGAAAGTTTATGGAGAAGATCTACAAGATGTGCTGAAACAACATTAGACACATGCATACATATAAACTGCATTTTTTAGTCTTTTAATACGTCTTTAATTCACTTTGTGCTTCTGACTCTTGTGTTGTGGTAACAGGTGAATTTCCTTATAAACTTATCTTCTCTTAACATTGAAGCTCTGTGTGTGTGTTTGGTGCACAATCATATATGGGTGCATTATACGTTTTGTGCAGGTGGTACTACATAGTGGTTGTCCCTGTCACTCCAGTTTCTCTGAGGAGATGGGAAAACCCTGAAGACATGGACATACAAGAGGTGAGCGGATGTCTAGTTCAGTTTGATTTCATTGTTGCTGACAATCTTAAAAACGGCTCTTTTATCAGTTGTAATTGTTGCCATAAATTTTGTGAACACTGGGTAAAAGTAAAAAAGGAGTCAAATCCTAGAAAAAGTCTTTCAAATAAGTTGGGACATAAGCTGCAGTAATTTGTCCATATTGGAACGTAGAAAATATCAAATATTAAAACATGAAAGATGTACAATTTTAAGAAAAATGTTGCTTTTAAATTTGATGACAGCAAAGCGTCTCCAAAAAAGTCAGACGGGGCAAACAAAAGGTTACCGCAGTGATGGTATAAAAAAAGAAACTATAACTGGAGGTTAGCTGCCAGTAGGTCAGTCACATGATTAGGTAAAAGAGCATCTTAGAGAGGCGGAGCTTCTCTACAAATCATCTACAAATTGTTTAACAATTTAAAAAAAATGTTCCTCAACATAAAATTGCAAAGACATTAAATATCTTGTCATCAAGGCCAAAACTCAGTATTGGATGCCAGTGGTCTTTGTGCCCTCGGCCAGAACGACATCAAACATGTGTCATGGACATCACTGTGTGTGAGCACAGCTTACAGTGCCATCCACAAATGCAGGGTAAACCATGCAAAGACAAGCCCACATGTGAATGTGATCCAGGAACACTAAAAACAGAATCACTCAGCCTGGTTTAAACTGGGGAATTAAAAACCAGAAGCAGCCTCAAGTGGCCATTGAGGGAACTGCAGTTTATTGTTCGTTTTTTTATTGCAGTTAAATTTCCTTATTAGTCCCAGTGTGAAGGGTAGAAGCAGCAGTAAGGTGACAGAGGGTTGGTATAAGGTGGAGGAGGAAACCTACTGGCAATATGCATGGGACTGATAACATTGAAAACAGGTGATTAAAGCTGCTAAATGTTTTTCTGCCTATGTTTATCTGGAAAAGGGCGAGAAACACTGAATGAAAATGTAAGTTATTGCAGTGTGAGTGACAAAACAGAGTTCGTGCACCTTCATTACAGGAAAATGTTTCCAGCAGTATAAATGGGAATCAGTTTTTATAATTTAGTGGCACCTTGGCAGTTTTGAAACATCACTGACACCTCTGATCCAGAAATGCTGTGATTATGAATCCGCTTCTCCAACCACCCTCGTGTGTCGATTACGAAAGAATGCAGCGTTCTTCGGCTTTTTAGAGCACCGCCTGACGTCACTGCATGCTTCGTGTTTTAGCTTTGTTTTCATTTACATGTCTTCATGATGAATTTTCACAACCAATCAGACTGAAGCCCTTCTAGCATCATTACACAATTCATTACACGCAACAATTCAAAAAGGTTGTGAGGGACAAACAATATTCGAATGACTTGACTGTTCTCACCGTCATGCAGTCAGAGATACTAAAAAACAAAGTGTAGATGTGGTCAGAAGCTATCAAACGGAAATGTTGTTTACAAGTGGAAATGTTGCGAGGCTAAATAGAGGCGATTAAAGAAAAATCATCATGCATCAATATGTGGATTGAGGAATATTTGTACATAGAGTCGCCACTGATGATGGCAAAGGGAAATCTTACCTCATGTCTGAAGCTTTGTTTCTATTTTTGATTCAGTGCATCTCCCATAATGCAGACGGGGCGGTGTGGCATCACTCTTATGTTGGCCCCTCTTGTAAACGATATTGGGTTAATGCTGAGCTAAATGGTGGCACGGGAGTTCAGTAGTTAATTTTGTTGAATCCACAACTCAAAAATAAATGAAGTTTTTCAAAGAGTAAACTAACTGCTGTGCATCATTCTGAGATTTTGCTTTGTTCTTGCTTTAAAACTTGCTGACACATTAACTGCTGAGTCAGCTCTGCTCCTGAAACGTAAAATAACAACTAAGAAAGAAATGGGGCTTTTTTTGCTTCACCTGCAACTGTATATAATTACCCAGTGTCAGTAAAATCCTTTAGCTTTGATTTTATTGTATCTCTTCCAAGTCCTCTCTAACCTACAACAGAACTGCTGCTTAAGGTGTCATTTACATACATGAGGCGCTGCACTGCGTTGTATTCCCGCGAGCCTTCATTGAGCAAGATCTAAAGGAGATGGGCTTTTACTATGTCTGCAGGCAGACTGATCAGGTTGAGCTGTGCAGTAACTGTTATGGGTTTGTCATTAATTCCCTCCCCTGACAAATTATGAAATGCATGCAAGTGGATAATGGTCTAACAATGAAGGCAAAGATCTGGAGTCTGGTATCTCATAGTCTAGACCCTTGTTTGCTTCAGCTGTTGAGTTGAAGCAAAAACTAAATAAAAATGTAAAAGATGGACTTTCTAGGTCTTAAAAAATTAAGCCAGTGTGGAAGAGCTTTAAACCTGAATTATTTCCAAGGGTCAGAGGGGGGTTCATCCTCATTGCTGTACAGACTGTATAGAAATCACTGAAACAATGTATGACTTGGGTAGTGACAGACAAGTAGCTAAAGTATCCCTTAGTTTATCAGTCATGGCTTCAATAAAGTACGAGACAGCCAAAATGCTTCAAGCTTCAAAAGAGGACTTTGCAAACCAATGGGCGACGTCACACCGGCAGCTATAATGGATTTTATGGTGTTTACTATAATAGCTAGTATAGCAGTGTCTTTACCTTAAATTAAGTGTTGTTGCAAAATGGTTCTAAATGTAACTTTTGACTCTGCATGTCAAAAAACATCCAAAAGAAAGTAGCGCAAAGGTGTTCCTAATAAGATTCTTGAACCAAACTAGCAGGACTTTCAGTGTAAAGGTGAAGCAGGTGTAGAAACTAGACACCACAGCTATGTCCCAGTTCATAGGGCGCATCCTTTGGAGGCCACATTTCAAGGCCAATTACGTCAAAGCTAGGCGACGAAGGCTGCTCCAAATGCGTCCGACAAATGCGTCCTTCATTTCCCCGAATTTGAAGGATGGGTGGGGTGTGTCCTTCGTGACCCAACATATCCCAGAATTCATTGCGCGGCCAAGCCAATTCCAAATCTGAAGGCTAGACCAACCCATTTCACAGCCTCGCACTTCGGGCCTTCTCAGTCTATGAAGGACCCGGCACACGTAGACCGCGGAGGCCAGGTCCTCCGAAGGATGCAGCCTATGAATTGGGACACACATCTCATTTTGGCTGCATGTAGAGCTCATGACCATAACCGAGAGCTTGGAATACATTCGAATAATTCAAAAACTTCTGGCCCAGCTCTCTTGCCCCTTCACATGGGGCAATAACTGTTTCCCAGCTCAGAAGCAGCAATCCATCCAGAACCATTTCATCCATACACGGTAAAGCCCTAACCAATGCGCCCACAGCTCTTCATAGTCTGGCTTTTTTTAACCTTTTCTCCTGATCTTTGACAAAGAAGCATTTTGGACAACTGGACCTCAACTGAAACTCTTGAACATATCCAATACATGTGTGCATAAAACAACACACAGTTATCACAGAAGCATTAGTGTGCAATTACATTTGAATCTGGCCAATATGAGCTCTGTAAAAAGGCATGTATGTGTTGTAGAATAGCAGCATACACAGTTTAAAGTCTTAAAGTCTATGTCTTTGTTTTTATAGGATGCTGATGCATAAAGACTGTGTAATTATACTAACTTATAGTTATCATTTGCATACAAGTCTAAATGTGACCTGCATTGTATTTTTTAGTCTTTGTTAGTAACTCTGGCCTCCACTTTTTATACTCCAGTCATTTTGGAGCTACAGCAACGTGTAATGGAGTTGCTCAGTGTCTGAGGTTTGTGTTTACTGGTCACTATCGCAGCTTCCTCTACTGCAGATTGTGTTGTTGCTAAAATGCAGATCACTATCTGGGTTTGGCTGGAGAAAAGCACTTCACTTTAGTGGAGTCATTTTCTAATAGAGATGGTTAGCAGCACATCATTACTTCTGTCCTACTAATAAAGGGAGGCCAAGTGCATGTTTCAATCTGGTCGTGCACAATGTTAAATGCTTATTTATTATATCTTGTGTGATTTATCCATATATTTGTATTTTTTGTTTTTGAGTTGTTGGTGACTGGTCAGGTTTAGGTTTCTATTCATTCTACAGAACTTCATATTACTGTTTATTTATTTATTGCCCTGAGTTGGATTGGTCTATGGCAGGGGTGGGCAACTCCAGGCCTCGGGGGCCGGTGTCCCTGCAGGTTTTAGATGTGTCCTTGATCCAACACAGCTGATTTGAATGGCTAAATTAGCTCCTCAACATGTCCTGAAGTTCTCCAGAGGCCTGGTAATCATGTGATTCAGGTGTGTTGACCCAGGGTGAGATCTAAAACCTGCAGGACACCGGCCCTCGAGGCCTGGAATTGCCCACCCCTGGTCTATGGCGTGATTATAAAGTTCAGAGATTTCCCTTTTTTATATATCCTGGATGAGCCCCGGCATTATACGGTAAGCCCTGCTTATTTAGGACATAACGGGGTGATTTTTTATAGTAAGGTAAAACGTATTAATGGCAACATAAAAATGATGGCAACATGTCCCTGTGAGCCAAACATACAGCTAATTGGTGCTTTCCAGATGGAAAGGGAGACCTAAACATTAGGAGTAATTTAGCTTTTAAAGGTCCAAATTCCTTCCAGCAGTGTTTGAGTTTATTAGTTATCCAAGAAAGTAGGATATATCTTTGGCATATATCATAGTGTTTTGGGTTTTTCTGAATGACACTTTTTCTTATGAAGTGTGGGGAATGTAAGCAAATTTTGAGAAACGTAGACTTATTGAAAATGTGCGTAAAGGGCTCAAATTATCTGCCAGACAGCCCTCATGTACTTTGACGATGGGGGGTCCTAGGCCCTCACATGGACTCCCAAGCAGGGGGGATAAGTCGGGTGAGATGACCAAGGACTGGACCATAAAAGGAAGGAAGCAGAAAGCAGCATCTGAAACTGACATAAGGCACGGGATCCAGTACCTTCATCTGAGACGTTTTTAAGTGAAATACTGTCAACCGGCTGTTTGTTAAATTTCCTTTTTCTTACAAAGTGAATGTTTGAAATGTCAGCACCCAAAAAAGGAAGAAGATGTATCCATGTGATTGAAGTGACTTTGCTGCAGACAACCGTCCCCAGTATGTCAGTGTCACCTTGAATATTGTTGCTTTGCAGGGACGTGTTGGTCTAAAATGACAAAAGCAGGTGGTTGAAAGACACGTCTGTCTCTGAACACAGAGAGCAGCTGAGTTTCAGTAATGAAGCCACGACCCTCGGTGCTTCCTGAATGTCACAGAGGGCCTTCAGACTTTATAAATTCAATCCTGCTAATTGTAAGGCGTTTGGCATCCTCCAACATGCACCTTTCACCAAGTGCACCACAAATTTATAAGATAGAAGTAACATTTTTACGTGGCTCAAAAACAAAATAAAATAAATTAAAAGGTTTATTGCTTCAATTTAGACTTAGAGAAATCAATTTTCTAGTATGTTTTTGCAAATTGCAGCTTTGATCAAACTGCTGAACAAAAGTGTAGTGCATCAGCAGCATGATGAAGCATCATTTCGAACATTTTGAACAATAACATTTCATAATAAAGTGGTTTAACTAATATCGGCACCCTGTTTGTTTGTCTTCTTACACTTTGCTCATCTTTACTGGTTCTTTTGACTTTGTTGACCAGTCACACAGAGGTCTCAGCAATTTAGTTCATTCTAATCAATAAGACAGGAGATTAAAAACTGCAGAGTGTAAAGGAAAGGATGGATAAAACCCTCATGGCATCTCCCATTGGCTTTTGAATTTTGCATTATTAATGAATGCTCCGGTGGCATTGTTGCTTTGTGGAGCCATTAGTTTCTTGCCTGGTTATATTGTTAGCATTGTTACAGTAAGACATGCAGACTTTAAACCTTAATTAAGTGAAAACAGATCAACAGTTAAAGGTGGTTTGGATTAGAAATAAATAAGAGTAAAACAAGTGAATAAAATGGAAGAATCTTATAACTGTCACAGAGGGTCAGGAAAAGAGAGCCGTCATCTACAGAGATGAGGTTTGTTATGTCATCTTGTGTCACTATGCTCCAGTGTCATGTCAACTCATAATATTTTGTTCCTCTGGTAGCTTCTGGAGTCCGGTGCTGACAGCAGCCTGCAGAGAAGGAAAAGGCAGAGCAATGACTTCCTGCAGCCCTACATCGCCGCCAAGCTGGATACGCTCCCTGAGATCTTCACTCTGGGTGATGAAAAGAAATACAGCGGCTTCTACAACAAACCGCTCCCTGGACAGCAGCAGTACCGCTGCTTCGTTTTGGCTGACCTGACGGACCACGAGTCTGTGAGTGACCTCTCTGCATTTATGAACACGTTCAGCAGCAGTGATGCATTTGGAAGTGGTTCAGTGGTTGATCTCAGAGGCCAGGGCTTCAGTGCATACACTGACTTCTTAAAAAAGAGCACCACCCCACCTCAAAACACAGCACAGACTTACAGTACATTGTGAAGATGATGCTACACGTTTGTCCACAAGACTCTTTGGCTTTTTCTTTGCCATCGTAAGGCAATACAGCAAAACTGAGATTAGTGTTGGTAATAAACTGACAATTTGTTAATACATTTTCAACATATCAGCTGGTTCTGTCCATACAGTGTGTATTCTATAACTCATCCATTTGTGTAGCCTACAGACAGTTTGAGTGCTGTCGTCAGTGGTTAGGGTTAATTAAGGGTAATTCAGGGTAAGGGTTAAGTTTACATTCAAACTTCCTCTTTATATGGAAGTTTCACCTTTGACATAACCAAATTTGACTAAAAATGTCTCCAAGAGTTGAGTTCAAAGATAAAATCCTTTTGTTTCCAAAGCTAGCTTGTTTTGCATGTGGCTAAAGTGCAACACAGTAGTTCTCTTTCACAGGAGGAGCATCCCTAAAGCAGGGATGTTACCCACATGACACAGCAGCAGTAGCTTAATTGTCATCCCTGTATCAGAGCCATGATAAATTGCAATTGGGGTTGCTGTAGCTCAGGCGGTAGATGGTAGAGCAGGTCACCTATCAAATATCCTGGGCAAGACCCCGAGTTGCTCTCCGGTGCATTCATGGGATTATGAGTGTGTATGTGTGAGCGTTAGACAGAAGGTTCTTAGACAGAAACAACATAGAAAAACAGTGCATGTGTGAATGGGTGAATTCGGGGAGCTGTGTAAAGCGCTTTGAGTGCTCAGAGTAGAAAAACTCTATATAACCCAGTCTGTTTACCATTCCCATTTACCAAGAGTTTTGAGGCCAGACTAACAATCTGCAGCAGTGCGAAACCCTCTTTTGGCATTAAAACGTTACTGTAAGATTTTACTAAAGAGGTGCAGTGTCAGTTTTGTGACTAAAAGGTGTGGAAGTATTTTTGCCTTCGTGCATAAGTATTTGTAGAAGTTTCCCTTTTTTGGGAAAGAAATTTGGAGCGCATTTAAATGATTCCTACAAAACCTATTTAAGTTCCTGCACTTTACAGCAAATAACAGAATTTAACCCTGAAAAAAGCTACTCTTATTTTGTTCCCTATGGCTGTGAAAGTTGTCTCTAGAAGTGTTCAATTATTAGGAATTAGAAGAGGAGGGGTTATCAAAATGAGTGCAGAGTTAGCACAGCTGGATGGCTCAAAGCTATGAAGGCACTCCCTAACCTTGGGCTGTCCTGTGCTAGTGGCTTTACAGTGCTGCTTGCAGTGTTTCCAGTTTTTAGTTACATTTCTACACAGATCAGTCTTGTGTCTCTTGCTTGTGTTTTCACAGCCTCGTGCACACAATGAGCAGATTTTGTTCAACTTCAGATCTGTTACAAGCTGAATGAAAATGCAGAAATGTGTCAAATTCAGACCTGACAGCTGTTAGATTCATATTTGAATCCTACAATCTGTAAATTTTGACTTTAAAGAATGCACGCAGTCTCACACTTGCATAGCCTGCAGTGATAAAGAGCATGCATTTAATGACAAAGTAATAGCAACATCAAAGCCTGGGTCACGATGTGACATCCTCTTCTACATATATAAAGTCAGTAATGACAAACAGATTCATAACATGGATTCATTTGTAATAAAGCTGCGATCCTGTGCTCTAACTGAGCTGTCAGAATTATCCAGAGAATGAACGTCTTGAGCTACAAGACTGTGCATCGTCCACGGCAAATTCTAACAGAAGAGTTTGTCTGAATTTCCAGAGAGAAGCACAAACATGAAACTCACATCCTGATTGCTTCTGCCTGCATATGTACAGTGCTCTTGGCAGAATGCTGGTCATCATTAAAACAAATTATTTATCTCTATAAATTAGCAGATCGCCAACAGAACCTCCCACCTCCGTCGACTGTGGCGTCACGCTAGTTTGCCCTGGTTAGTAAATCTGCCCATCGATGTCGAATTTTCAGATCTCCATAATGGAATGAACACTGTGGCTACCTGACCAGACCCGTTCTTCTTAGAACAGGGGGATTGTCTGGAAGGTGAATGCGCTCATGTGACCAGGCACAATTCACAAACTCAGCAACTAACACTTGCATCAAAAACAATACAAACATTGAAATACAAGAGAGAAACTATCACAGAGATGCACCAAAAGTCAGCAAATCATTCAAAGTTATTTGTGCAGATTTTGTATTGTACATCTTTATGAAAGTTGTATATTCACAGACAAGATTCAGGAAATAGAAACAGTAACAAGGACCAATGTTTGATATCATGCAATAGCCTTGCAATGAACGCAACCTGTGGAACACTTGTTACTGTGGACCTTGCAGCTGCTTCCTGTGGTGGTGTTGTACTGGATTGCAATACGCACTTTCCCCCCCACACTGCTGTGTTTGAGTGCACATGATCAATAGTCAGAATAAAATGTGGAAGAAAACAAATGGATTCCCCCGAGTTTGACCATCTTGCCAACAAAGTGCCCATTATGTTTTATGTTATGTAATCCTTCTGCACTAATGTACCATCTGAACACACAATACAGCTGCTGCTACCACGTGAGGGAGAAGCAAAGTCAACTATTAGAGTGGAATAAGCTGTAAGTTACAGCCTGCCTTGTATGCAGCAGTGCTGTGTCAAGAAAGGTTCACTGAGACCAAGGCTGTGCTTGACACCTCTTGCTCTTTAATAAATCATAAATCTGCAGCAGGGGCAAGGGAACAGCAGAGGCAACGTGGATGGTTTTTTAATATGCTGCTCTATTGCTGTTTTGTCTGCATTTGTGGCCTTTAAAGTTGTCAGATGAATAGTTCTCATAAAACTGTGGAAAAACTTCATTTATGGGTCACATTGTGGTACATACAGCTGCAGTGCATGTTCCATACTTCTTTGTAATGCTGAATGAATAGAGCAGAGTTGGTTGTGAATGGCATTATTGCTTTCTATCTGTGGAATACAAGAGTAGCCCTTCAAGCAGCGCTGCACACATGCCAAGCACGTCACAGTGATGCTAATCATGTCCTTGACTCCTGCATGCATCTGCAGGTATATCTCCCAAGCAGTTAGGCCGTGATCCCCACCGTCACTCACATGCACCTTGCTTCCAAGAGCATTAAACCTTCAGACTGCTTCTCTAATTTCAACTGCTCTTGTTCTTGTTCGCCCTCGTGGCATCTTCATTTAAATGTGTTACGATCTATGGAGAGGGAGGAGGTTGGTCCAGAATAGAACACTTCTAAAGGCTTCTGGCTTTAAACAGTCTTATGAACTATTCACACAAACACGGTGATGCACCAGATCAGTAAAGATTCACTTGGAGTAAGGTGTAGGGGGAGATTAAGGTTCAAATCTTTTTATGGAAAGGCTTGTGAAGAAGAACAAGAATGCATGTACGGGGTCTGATCAGAAGGTTCTGACAAATCAAAAGCCTCACCTGATTTAGATTTGGCTGGTCTCACATTCAACTTCATCTTGTTCCAGCTGACTTTTGCTTGCTGTGCAAGTTTGAGGTCCATGGTGGAGAACGCAGAGTGGACGTGGTTACAACAGCAACTTCCATGAGCTGAAAATAGCAGCTGAAGGATGAAGGATGACTGAATACATTAAAATAGATTCTCTCAAACAGGTTGTGATTTTTAGGTCCTGCTGTCTGAACTATTTTAATCATTCCTCACATGAGGCTTACATTGAAGTAAAGCATTTTCTGAAAATGTGCTTGTACTACGCTGAGCCCAAACCATGAGCGTGTTATGGAGAGCTGCTGGATGTTAACAGGATAAACCTGCATTCAGAGTCTCCTTGTATGGGTGAACCCAAGTCAGGCTTTCATCACTAACCACTTTCACCTACTGCTGAGCAGACTGCAGATCCTTCACACGGTGTTAATATTTGCCTCAGCTCTTGTCTCGCCCCGCCCAGTGAAGACAGCAGGCCCACTGTGGGTCCTGCTCAGGGAGAGTTACTGGCTTTTTCTTAAATGATCCAAGGTCTTGGCCCCACTATGTAAAGTGCTCAATGTGACATATGTTATGATTTGGAGCTCTATGAATAAAACTGAAATGAATTGAGCATTTAAATGTCATTCAAATATCAGTGGCTGAAAGAAGTGTGAGATTAAAAAAGGGGGCAGATGGAGAAATGAAAGCAAGCTTGTTTCAGGTTATCAATGAAGGAAATTCAGCACATTGGTCGGATTTATCTGCACTGCAAAACAAAGTCAGTCAGTGAGTGAAGAGCGGCCTGAAAACCTTCCAGGTAGCAATCTGCAGATTTGGCCAACAGTTGTAGAAAATGGTTTTCTTTGGACATGTTTGATTTACAGTATTGACAAAAGGATCATTTTATATGGACAAAATTCTAGGTGTGATGGGACATTTCATGCCCTTTACAACAACCCTACCCCAGATGTGATTGGGTAAGAGGCACACCGTGGGCAGGTCACCAGTCTATCACAGGGCTAACTCACAGAGCCAAACAATCCTTTGCACTCACACTTATGAGTAATTTAGAATCACAAAGTAATCTAACTCTAATAACTGAATGACCTTTAACTGTGGGAGGAAACCAGAGTACCTACTGCAAACTAGCCAGACTGTGGGTTTGAACCTGGGCCCGTCATGCTGTGAGGTAACAGGGCAAACCACTGCACCACCACGCTGTCGGTACAGACTTCACAAAAGGAGGAAAGCTACGATTTCAAGGCTTGATGCAGAATTTTTCTGCACGTTTTTGTCCTTGACAGGTTAAACACAGTAAATAGTGCTAGCATGCACGGGGTGTGTAGTGTCTGCCTCCAGTGATTTTCCTGTGGTGTGAAATCTCGTGTGGTCTTGTGAATTTCATGAGTCCAGCAACTAACCACTCCTACTAGATTGTATCAGG